AAATTGACTTAAAAAGTGGAAATGATTTAGAGATTCATTTAAATACATTTTGATTCAAATCTGTATGACCAAAGAAAATGCTATAAGCCTGGAACGTGTATTTTCTGTTCATCAAGTTTCCATTATTTCTTTTATACCGTGGCTAGAATAAAAAGATAGAAATGGGGGCTCCTCCCTTTTGAATTCTATCTAATCACCCTTCCCCAAAGAATTTCTCTCTTACTTTACATTTTAGAAACAAGTAAATGAATCCCGGTTCTCAAACCATGGTTGCTATGAGACTTACTTCAGCAGTAACAACTAACTGAGAGGCCTTTTTGATGGGCTCATCTGATTCCCAATTAGTTTGAGTTACCCCACACATTTTGGGGGGCTCATCCTCTTTTTCTACGTTTTCATATTTGAAGACTGCATGGGCTTCACTGTCAGAAAACTTCAAAGGTTCAATAAGGTACATCTCCCCTTGAAGCTTGAAATGTCCTCTGTAAAACAATGTGGAAAAGGGTGATCAGAGATGGAGAAGCAATACAAGAGAATATGATTAGTTCAGAGATCACCTGCACTGATGATGTTACCTAGTTGGGTTATGAAACTCAGCTCTGAGACCCATTTTTAACTAACCAAGTCAACATTCCCTGTGTTTCTGAATCCCTTCTGAACACTCACTGATTTTTTTATTTTCTTTACTCAGCACTCATATTGCTTTCTCATACTTCTCAAAGAGACAGCTATGATCAGAAAGATATAAGAGATTGCACACACTCAATACAACCACGAAATATCTGTACAGTATTTGTTTGGAGATAGTTTGGCGTGGAATCCAATATTTCCTAGGATTTTTTAAAAAAATGCTATTTGAAAGATTCTGTTTTTGTGTAAAACTTTATCTCATAAGGGTGAAATACTTTATATTTATCATATATATGACCAACAGATAGAACTCAAGAATCATAACTAATTATGATAAAAAGGACAAATATAACTGTTCTAAAATATCTAAAAGGAATTACAGGAACTACTGCAATTTACTTTACAAAGTATAGAACAGTATTTGGCTGTGGTCAAGGAAATAAAATCAGATTGATCTGATAGCAATTTAAGATAAGAGTCACAATGACCAGGATATTTAATAAAGAAGGGAAATAAGAATTCTTGGCAAGCATCTTCATTGAGAGGGCAATGCAGAATAACATGAGTAACACTGAAGAATAACAGTGCAGACTAACAAGGAGCTGAAGGCTAAAACATATGATGAATGGTTGCAGGAACTGGGTACATTCAGGCTAACCACAAGAAAAGGTAGAGATGATATGATAGTCTTTCAATATTAAAGGGACTGTCACAAAAAAGTATGGGACAACCTATTCTCCAAATCACCTGATGGCAGGAGAAGAAGCAATGGATGGAAAGTAATCTGGGAAAGAATCAACTTAGAACTAAGGAGAAATTTTCTGACAATTGGAACAATTAACCAGTGGAAAGGTTTACATTCAGATGTTGTGGGTGTTCCATCACTACTGCTTTTTAAGAAGAGATTGACAGCCATTTGTCTAGAATGATATAGGTCTCCTACTTGAGCAGGAGATTGGACTAGAAGACCTCCAAGGTCCCTTCCAATGCTGTTATTCTGTCATTCTGCTTTTCCTTTATTATTCTGTTGTTATTCTGCTGTGTTCTATCTTTTCATTTATTCTTCCACTGCATGGACAGAGTCTCTGCTCAAAGGGCGTCTTTTAGTGTCTTCCTTCAGTTACAGATGTTGAGAGGACGTTGATTCTGACTAATGAAAAGGACCTTCTGAATTATGGGATCTTTATGAGGCTAAGATATCTAGCTGGTTGGAGAAGGTGTGCAGAGTGGCTCAAGAAAGTGTTTCTGGGTAGAACTAAAGAGTCTGCTTGCCTCTTCCTATACACTTTCTAGAAAGGAATGCAATCTGAAACCTACTTATCTTCTCTACCTGTAACATCACCTCCTATATGTAAAGGAGACAAAGGCTTGGAAGCTCCTTTAGACAGATCTGATTTAATTCCCTCCTGTCTCTACTGGCTGTCAGCAGCTCTTCTTGGTATTCCACCAAAGTCTTTCTTAATTCTGCAGAAGTCTTGGATCACACCCAACTCATTTGCATGAAAAACTGATGTCCTTCATTTTAACTGTGACAACTCCAAGAGCAGTATATTATTCTTAATACAATAAATAAAAGATTAGAGACTATCTTACTTCAAACCATTGCATGCACTGATGCTTGCAGTTGAGTCAGCATCATTCTGGATGCGTCCATGATAATAGCAGTGATCCTGGAGGGAGACAAGAGGACTACACTGGTTAAAGCTGGTCTGCAGTGTGATTTGATGAGCAGAAGTACAGTTCCAATGTATTCCACCAGATCAAGGAAATATTAAGACAGCAGTTATTCAGAAAACTTTGATTCAGGTGGACAGAAGACCTACTTAATATTGATTGTTGCAAAATAAACATAGGATAAATGCAATTCTCCATAAAGCAAGTCACACTGTAGGGGGAGTCCCACTGATGACACAAAACTAAGAACTTTTGGGCAGACAACCAACATACAAATATAAAATGTTCTCTTGGAGGTCAACTCTAGTGCTGAACCACAGGATTTGCTGAAGAAACTTTCAGACTTGATGGTTGTCCTACGTTCTGAAATATTACCATAATGTATGGAAAATTCCACATTTACTAATGATACCAAATAATCATTATTTTCTTGAGCTCACACAAGGAAAGTTTCAGAATAAACAGAGAGATATAATTCCTAGCATTATCTGGAAGCAGGATCCATGTAGAATTAAAATCAACAGATTTCTGTTACACACTAAGTAGGAACAATTTGTATGACCTTTGGAGATATTTTTGGGAGACAGAGGATACACTTTTAGATCAATTTGGGGGCAAGGAGCCAAGGACTTCACAAAGCATGTTAGTGCTGTCACATTTTTGCAGTTGGCAAGGCAATGTTCTGGACCATTTTAATGTGAAAGATATTTTATGGATTTCTGTATAGGAGCAAAGTGAATTGTTATCACTTTTGGTATTACTAATAAAAGACTTTGCATGTATCCCTGTAGTCTGGTTTAAAAATGAAAATATAGATCTTATAAACCTGATGTTCTCATAATAAATATATTTGTGAAACTCTTTCCCCAAAATGTTGGCTTTTAACCAGTAGGAAACAACTCGATGATTGAAATACTGCCATGGTAATTCAATGAGTAAAACAAGCTGGGTATAACAATCCATATATCCTTCTAAGAGCATATCAATATAAGATATTTCATACATATATAGCCCTTCTTTTTTGAGTAGCCTGATCTCATTCTTATATATTTGTAATATTGTGCACAAACATTTGCTTCAATTTACTTCCTAAAAGCAACACTCTTAAAAGTGAGACCCCACCTCAACCGGAGGGTTTGTTGTAATTTCTCTGCCATCAGGGGAATAATGAGTCTCGCTGTAATCTTCTGAAAAAAGTTCTCTGCAAAAAAGATAACATTCACCTGAGGAAAGAGATTTACACCAAAGAAGCTGTACAATTCTCTTAATCAAGGCTCAGAGGAGAATGATTGACCAGGAGAAGACATTTTGTGTTGTGTCTTCCTTTTATTCTTCTGGTCTATGCAACAATCTGACGAAACTGCTTGGTTTATAAAGGAAAGCAGTATAGCTCTATTTACTAAAGAGTAAAATGAAGCAATCTCAAGGAAATGGATGCCTTTAACCTTCATACAGAAGCATCTCTCTTGAAGCTTTAAATCAGTATATGGAGTCACATTCCACTCCTGATGTCACATCTATAAACTTGTCATTGCCTTCCATTTTTCCAATCTAGAAATCCTTCCCCCTGTAACCCTGCTTGGCTTCCATTCCAAAACAAGACCGTCAGATGCTACCCTTGAATTTCTGTATAGCTTTCATATTTAAACAAAGCAAAAGGGGACAATAGAACTTCTAAAGCACACATTAGAATTTATCATGAAATTTCTCCAGTTGAATAGGATAGAGTGACACACAGATACCCACATATAGGGCAATTTCTTTATAGCTTATACTTAATAATAAAGACAGTATAGATTTAGAGGCACATATAGAATGGTCAAAACCAAAATACATTTTATAATCAAAGCCAGACATTCATTCCCAATGCACCAACTATGTATCTCAGTATTAAACTGCACCAGGCTGCAGAGACATGTTTATAGTGTAGTGGCTGCCATACTAATTTAAACTGTGATATAGCATTTACAGGATTTAGCGTAATAAAAGTGGTACACTTTCTTTTAGTGGTGTCTGTGGTTTATTTACATGTGAGAAATCCAACCTAGAACTAAGATAAATTTCCTGAGAATGAGAACAGATAATAGGTGGAATGGCTTGCCTTCGGAAGTTGTGGGTGTTCCATCACTGGAGGTTTTCAAGGAATGGTTGTACAGCTATGGAATGGTATAGTCTCCTGCTTGAGCAGGGGGTGGACTAGAAGGCCTCCAAGGTCCCTTCCAACTATGTTTGTCTTTTGTGCTAAAAAATAGTTTCATTCCATTTCTGTGGCTTATATTTGCATAATATTTTTATTCATATCTTGATTTACATGTCAAATGGAACACCATGGCATTCTTTTTAAAAAGTGTTGGGAAATCTGGGTTTATTTAGATCCATGTCCACTTTCGAGACTTAATAGGAGATGACATTTCCTGCCTTTCATGTTTTAACATAATTAATTCTGATGTAACTTGAGCAGCGATGTTGGTCTTGTAGGCAACGTTACTCAGAATGATGGAGTATCTGTGAAGCAGCATAAGCAATCATTTTTAAATCTTTGTAATATTTCATAACTAACCTAGTTAATTCAAGTGATAGAAGGTTATGAACCTTGAATGGTTCAACTTTGTTTAAAATTGTAATGTTCCAGCAGTGTCCCATAGGAGAGCAGGAATAAAAAAAAATCTCAATTCTGAGGTAAGATATAATTAACATGCTCAGTATCTATATCCACTTTTCGTACACAGTAACATTTAATTTAGTTTTAATTCCTAACAAAAGAATGCAATTATTATTTCTCTTAAATTGTGTCCAGGAATATACATTTTCCACATCGTCCAAGTAAAGTTAAGAAAAAGTCTGAGTTAACATACTTATTTTTTTCCAGGTGAAGGACCACTGGCTCTCCATTCACCTTAAATTCATATTGCATGGCGTCTTCATACTGAAAAGCAAAGAGTTCAGGGTTTACTTCTTAAAAAATTAGGCAAATAAAATGTGTACCCTCTTAACAACTCTACACCTGTATCAATTTAAATCTAATGAATAATTTGCCATAGCCAAATTATTCATTAGATTTAGAGTATTTCATCTGGTGCTTTGAACTGTAAGATCTTAAATTAACTTTCCCGCAAAAGTTCAAGATCTCATTCTCTAATTGAACATCTTGGTGA